AATAAGACCATTTTAACAATTATAGTGGCAAACGAATGACCGTGCTGATTTAAAGACGAGAAGAAGAAAAAGAAACAATTTTGTACACTTTCCCAACTACGTGTGTTTTATTTGCCAATAAATATGCGGTAAATGTCGTCAAAAAAAGCATTCCATTCCCGGGATGCCTCCGATGAATATCAAAAGATCATTCCAGAAACACAGCGCGTCTCATTTGCATATTAAAGAATTCAAATGAATGACCAAACAATATGAATTTTATAGTCAATTTAAATACATGTCTCCCGTGTTGTTTGCTGTTGCTGCCTTCTTTGTGGGCCTAAGATAGAAACGTGAAAGAAGCGAACTCTGGGTTTTTTTTAACATCACCATAATGTTGTTCTGGTTGTACAAACAGTTTGTCGAAATGGCATGTCAAACGAAAGAATTTTATGTTTCATTACGAAATAAATATATGAGAACGACAAGATGCTGAAATCTCAGGCATTACGACTTGGCTTTTCTCATCGGAGAATCGCTGTCATTTGTAGGAACAATACGGTGGCTGTATGTATTCGCAATTTCTCCCATTGCCGTTCCGCTCATTCAATTTCATATTTCTTGTTAAAATATTCGCGCATTCTGTTACTGATTCACTGGCCGATGTGCCAATTACACATCGATTTCCGTTCTTTTTTATTTGAAAAAAAAATCAGCTTTGATTTGCATTTCTCACTTTGCTTTGGTCAGTTTTCACTTCTCTTTCGCTCTGTCTCCGTCTCCCTCACCCAATGTCACTGACCATTTGACGATGAAAAGATCTCATAATAATATACAACTAACATTCAGTTAGCATATCTGATATTTATTGTTGGTTCGCATTCATTTTCGAAAAAAAAAAAGTTTTTCGATTTGAAAAGATTTCGGAAAATATCGAGTTACTAAAGATCAAACGATAACGAATATTTCGGCAAAATAACGTGCGAAACTCGCATTTCGGGGCCTGTGAATGGAGTCGAAGAAACACATAACAGCCCAACAGAACGCATAAAGTAGTGAAATTGCAATGTTTGGAAAAATTCACAGACTTGTCACATTTAATTGTGCTCGAAAAATGCGTTTTGATGTTTGGCCACACAACTCTGCAATCGCACTCACACATATTCAGTACGGTTCACTCCGAAAATTCTCGGAATTTCCATGTTTTATATTTTGCTGACCACATATTCTTCGGCGTTATTATTATATCATTTTTTGTTTCGGTTCCGTTCGAGTTAAACGAAATGATAATTAAGTTATGTGCATATGCATTTGGCCCGTGCAAAAAGTGTTCAGATTATTTTCCGATATTCGAAATTGAAATATTGTTTTGCTTCTCCATCGCGATCAATAAAAGTCCATTTTGCAGTTAAAAAAAGAAAACTGGTCTTACCACCAGCTTAGCCAGTGCAAATATTTGATGTTCGGCGAATATACACTTTTTCGCTCTCACTCTCTCTCCCACTTGGTTTGAACGTTGGGAAGAAAACATGAATAAACAAGAAGAAGAAGAGGAGGCAGTGTGGAATGCAGTCAATTGCAACATTTCAACTCAATCGAAACCGCTCGATAGAATCGATGTCAAAGCCAGAGCTTGTGTGTCCGAAATGAAGTAATCGTCGTTTGGTTCCCAAGATTTCACCCGAAGATTTGCTCAACTGGCCACTTTGAGAACGAGAATGAGGAAAAAAAACGATTTCGGTTAAATTTCATCATAAATTCACTTGTGCCCAAGACACTCGACCGCATTCTTCTAATTTAAAGGTAATTTCTATTCAGAATTTCCAGCATATTTATGGAAATGGTTATTTAAATTTATAAACAATGTATCATCGCGCCACAATCAGATTGGTTGACACAGACGAAGGCAGACAAACACACACACACATGAGGCAATATCATAAAGAATCTCCATTCTCACTCTGGACGAAACTGAATCGCTGATGACTGAATCTGATTAAACAATGTACGAAGAAAAACAATTAACAGATGCAAACGAATCGGTGTCCGCGGGCGCGCGTGCACGCGCATCAGAACACACGTGATGTGATAACAAGTGAAAATGTGTCGTCAACGCATATTCTAAACAGAGTGATTAAATGTGATTTCTTCACCATTTCCACTAAAAAATGAACACAATTATGCTTACCAATTCGATGGAATGCTGAAATAAACAAACAAAATGAACGAATGACAAAAATGACGAGAACCATTTCAAAATGGAAGAAAAATTCATATTAAATGAAACAAATGTGGTGAACGACCTTTTGAGTACACTGAAAGCTGGAGAGAGAAAAAAATTATTTGTTAAACATGTATATCAAATGTAACGAATCACATTCTTTAAGTTCAATCGTTTTTATTAGTTTTATTTTTTTTTTCTAATTTCATCTTCTCTCGTCATTCATTCGGTGAATGAAACAATATTACCGCTAGAAAAGCTAACTTGTAAATTCATTTCAACAAACAAACGAAAAAAAATGTCTATTTAATGTCATCGTGCACAGTCTTGCGAACGCGCGCATAGCATAGCATAAATAGCGATGGTAACAATATAGTAAGCATGTCACAATCGGCACACACAATCTTATCCGGAACTATTATAATACATCATCACAACCGGATATTACCTATTATATTTGTACCATATATCGGCACAATGCGCGCATATGAATGCAATTGTTTCGGTCTCCGGGGCCACCGTTGACTCCACACATCACCGTCGTCGTCATCGACGTCGTGTTTGCTGTGTTTTTTTTCTCGTATTCGATATATGGCAATGGATGTAGAGTGTGTTTTGGTTCCACGGGTGGAAATGGAAACATGCAAGAAAAACAGTCAACTGTATAAAATACGATCCGCTACATTCCGACCGATTGACAATAACACTTGCGTTATTTATCAACAGACACACATCCACACGGTTCACATAGAGTGAGTGTGAGGCCGCGCGGCTGTTGTGACAATAAAAGAAAATGCCTAAAATGAAAGATCTTCGAGCGCGTCGTGATGAATCCATATCTGACACAACAGCCTCTTTCATAATCTCTATCTGGGTCTTTTTCAATGAATCTATTGTCTTCTAGCTGTTTTTTTCCGTTTCTTCCATTTCTTTTTGTGTGTATGAATTTGTGCATTTCCTAACCCGAAAACAAAGAGAGAACAAACAGTTACATCGGGATGCGATCGTGTTGAAATGAGTATTTGGTAACCATAGAAAGGCCAATCATAGGAATCGAATTTGTTTGCCAGATAAAAGCATCGTCAAGCCGTCAAATACACAAACCGTGTTCAGTCACAAATGACGTTTATTCCATTTCAACCTGCGATCACTACTTTTTTTCAAGTCGAGATTTAAGATTCATATATGAATTTTCGGACCCTTTGCGCATATGAATGTTATAAAAAAAATGTTACTTTCTCCGAAAGTATTCGCTTCCCGGAACCACAATTCATTCGCAAACATTTGCGTGTGACGCAAAACCGACAACAGAAAAATTCGCTTCAAATTGAATTTATGAATGGCCATAAACAATGCTCATAATTGGTGTTAAATGGCCAACGGGGTTCAAATGTAATTATGCTCTTTTTTATCCATTGATCGTCGCTTTCTTTTCGGCTACACCAAACAAATGCGATGACCACAGACCAAAATGTTCATTTCAATTCAGCATTTTACCAGTGCAAACAGCTTCGAATCATCGAAAAATACCGAGAGAACACAAGTATCATTTGGCATTTATTTGCCATTAGAACATTTTCTCCCATTTTTGCCATGCAAAAAATCATGCTGCAAAAATTAAGGAAGCATTCAATTTTTGGGCGAAAATATTTCCTCTCGTGGACACCAAAAAAACACACGAACATGTATCGATAAAACGTGTAAAACGTCAAAAATGCATACATATATATGAACGAATTCTTGAACAAAAAAAAGAAGATCGAAATTCCATTGGATACGACTACAATGGCAAGTTTCCACTGAAAATCGGTTTTGGCATTTGTGTGCGGCGACCACCATGGGATCAGCTGTAGTAGCTCGCAATGACGAAATGAACGTTCTGGTGCGCATATGCACACATTCATATGGGACTACTTATACATGAGCTCCATTTGCGACGAAAGAAGATGAAAAAAATAAACGACGAAGCAAAGTATGCGCAGCACTGCGCACAATTCTGAGCCACCAGCCAAAACTGCTCACCGACCGACCACATATACACATAGCTGAACGAAGCTTGTACGAAATCCGAGTCCAAAAGATGTGAATTTCCATTGAAACACTGTGTGTATTAATACCATCAAATGGAAGACAGTAAAGTGTCGTTTTTGTACGATCCAAGCGATTCTAGTTCGCATTTTACATCTATATATCGTGAAAACTCTCGCTCGCACTCACACACACACACACACACACACACACACACACACACACACACACATACACGCAAACGAAACGAAGACAGACAAATACCTTGAGTCTACTAAGAAAAAGACTATGGTGCCTGTGTCTCTCTTTTTTTCTTGCGCTGTATGCGCAATGGACAAAACAAGCAGAAAAATTGTGAATGAGTGAGAAACTTGACTGTATTATTATTATTACTATTAACATTCCAACGGCACGAAGCTGAAACGAACTTGAATTCGGCATGTCGACACACTACTAACGGAGCTATTGTCGATTTGCACACATAGGGTTGAAGCAATCAATCGACCAAGATCACCTATGCGAAACGGATTTTTTTTTTTTTTAATCACACTCAATCAATAATTGGTCCAAAATTGGAGCAATTGATACAATTCGATGGATTTTCATAGAAATTGTCGTGGTACACGTTGCCTGTTGGGGTGTGTGTGTGTGTGCAAATTGTACAGCCCTGCGTCGGTGTGTTCAATGGCATACAGTTCGCATGTGTGCATGGGCATTTGCTGTGGCAAGATGGCCTTAAGCTTCGATATAATATGTGTTTGTGAGAGAAGACACACAGGCATTTCATTTCAGTGCGGATGATGTAAAATACGAACTTTTTTTGTAGTTACTGAACAACCTTTGAACATTTCTGTGTGCTGCGATTGGATGGTTTTTTCATTCCCATTTGCGACGTAGACTTTGAATTATCAGTAAGCGCGCACAGTTAAGTCGCTTGCGTCTTTTCAAACATCACACACAACATTCATCAACACTCAGCGAATAATGTTTCTTTTTTGTTGTTGTTGTTGTTGTTGTTGTAGTTTCGCTCAACAAAAATAGTGGAAAATTCAAAGGTTTTAATTTTTCTTTCGTTGCCGATTTCGTCGAATCATTTTATTTTTGTATGCCACCAAATCAGTTGACAAGTATTTTTAAAATTGTGATTCAGTTGTGATAATAATGCAAGTAAGGATTATTTTTGTACTAATTTAATTTAATTTAATTTTTTCCACCAAAATATCATTTGAAAAGAGAACTTGTGAAAGGATTTTTGTTTTGTTTTGTCGGATCGATCAAACAGCCAGCGGATAAGAACGAATACAAATACAAATACGAATAAACTGAAAAAAACAAACTTGATATGTCATAGTGCGAATAGGCACGAGTTTAGTGAGTGATTTAAATCGTAATTGATTGCGCAAAAGAGTCACAAATGCAAAACCACTGTGTATATACAGACACACATGGGGGGAGAGTTGGAATTGAAAGATTTCTCGAACCTAAAATGAAACGATAAACGGGTAATTCACACTCTTTTTCTCTCTTGCTCTCTATTACACTTGCTGTATGTCGACTCTCTCGAGAGAAAAAATGATTCATTTTCTGTTCCATTCCCATATTCATCCAAGATAAATGATTATACTTGAACGCGAATTGGTGAAGACAATTCTGCTGTTGCTAACCGAAACCAAAAAGAAATGAAATACATACACAAACAGTGATATACTGAGAGCGCGAGCGAGCGAGAGAGAGGGAGAGTGTGAAATACACCGAATAATGATAAACATTGCACAATTCACGATTGTGACGAGCTGTTGAAAATTTTATTCGGCCTATTTTCCGTTTGTATCCAAAAAGGTTTGTGTTTCCATTTGAAAAATAGAATTCAGAAGAATGAATAAAAAAAAATAAACGAATACATGAAGCAATATGTTCGCAGACGGTTAATTTTATTGCTAGTCTGCCTTGGAATGGTTGACGTTTTGAATGTATTTATCATTTAATTATCCATGTTTTGCTAAATGGCTTAGCAAATATATCTGAATTCGTCGTATCATAGGCGTTGAAACGGCTCCAGTTTTGGGTTTGCAAGTGTTTCAAATTTTAATATCACCACCACCGCCACACCACGCACACAATTTGATTCGTGTTCGCTTCTCAGTTTTCAAATGCATGTTTTTTCGTCGTCGTCGTCATCTTCTTCTTCTTTCTTTTTTTCCATTTTGGTCATTGCGTTGATTTCTTTCTTTCAAAAAGTGTTGCCTCGAGTATTCTTGGGCTGTAACGGAAGTCTTACTGCGCATTCACGGAATCGGTCCTAGCCTACGCATAGCCGAGCGCGTATGTCTTTGCAAACAGGAAACACTTTTCTTTTCCATGCTTCTAAGTGAGCGTGTGCGCGCGTGCGACATCGGCAAGCGCGTAAAAATCAAATCATTTGCTAGATTTACCGTTTCCTCCGGGATCGCGATAAACCGTCCGTGATGACGGAGCAACATTCCCCGCTAAACGATAGTGTTCCACTGTCGTTGGATGAGCATTCGCAATGAATAAAAGTTGTTGATGAAAAACAACGAAATTAAAGAGCTTCAACTTTCAATTGCGCGTCTCGTGGAAACAAATTCACACACAATTTCCGTATTAACAAAGGAACAGAGAGAAGAAGAAGAAGAAAAAACTTCCCGAAAAAAACAAATTCGTACAAGAAACTGTTCGAACGTTTTTTCGTCTGTTTGCTTTGCTCGATGAAAACGATAACCGAAAACACGCAGTGCGTGAGACACTAAAGAGGGACAGACAACCAATAGACAGACATAGTAAGGAGAGCAACAACCAGCACTGGCTATGTGTGCGTGTATGTGTTTATAAATTTATGGCAAATGTATGAAAAAAAGGCGTAGAAATTAACGAAAAAAAAGAACGCGATCACAAATACTGATACAGAATGTTTGAATTATTTTAAGAAATTACATAAACGCGATGACCTCAAAAGACGTAAAAACGAAGACGAACAAGCGCGCAAATAACAAAAAAGCAGCAACAACATAACAAAAAGTAAGGAAGATACACATATTGCCAAACATCGAGCTCGACTAAGGCGCGCTCATACGTACGTACGTACGAAAGGTTCATTTCGTGTGCGATTTATTTGAATGTTCTTTTCTTTCACACCGAACGAACAAAAAAAAAAACACACACACACACACAAGAAACGAAACGACAAAATAAAAGAAGAAGAAAATATTTTATTTTAATTTCTATTGTTGTAGTCGTCGTCGAATATACATATATATCGTTCATATGGCCAATCAAGCCGACAAAAAGCTTAGATCGAGAGACAGAGACAGAGGCACATGGAGCAGCCAGTGAATGAATAAGTCCACAGAACTTCAAACAGAAATGTAGCACATATGAAATATACGCCTTTTTCATGTAATATGTGCTGCTAACTGCTGCTGCTGCTGCTCTGCCTTTGTGTACCGCGCAAAATGAAACGATTTAGCACACGCGTGTACGAATACCGAATTCGAGCACCATCAACTAAAAAGTCTCTCTCTATCATTCCCGATGCTGTGTGCTGTGTGTTCTCTCTGTATGTGCTCGCTGCGATGCCATTTCATGTGGAATTCGGAATACGGTTCGAAACTGTAGATATCGAGATGCGATATATATATATATATATATATATATAGAGAGAGAGGCACTGTAAGATTCTAAGCATGCTCATGATATACTTCGTTGCTAGTACAATGTATGAGAATCGAATAAAAAAGAAAAAAACACACAGCCACCACTGAATAGAATTAGAAGTGATAATTTGCTTTTTCTTTCCGTGCAGTTTCGTTTGTGCGAACCGTTTTGTTTCTTCATTCTTTTGCTTCTTTCTTTGTCGTTTTCTTCGCCTTGATTTCAGTCGGCAGCGCCGTTCGGTGTTGTACCGTACATGTCTCCTGTTTTCTTCTTCGTTTCTCTTGTACTCTTTTTTTTCGGCTCAATATCATTCGTTGCTATGTTCGTCGCTGCTGCTGCAGCATTGATGCTTACACTAGCTCAGTCGTCATATCGTTATTATTTATTTAATTTTTATTGTGTTTCAATATTCGTTCTCATGTGAATCCAATGTACTAACTGTCTCTCATCATCGTCAAGTAATATGTGCTGTTGTACTTGTTTTCTTGTTTCGCATTTCTGTCTCTCACGTTCTCTCTCACTCTCCGTCTATCTCTTCGCTCATATTCGCATAATAGCGACGGAATTCTTTAAAATTAACTGTTTTGTTCGCGTTCCAGACATATAACGTAACACAGCACAGCACAGCGCATACCTTACTAAAGGAGTCTCCGACCAGAACAGGAAAGGTCATTGAGAATCGTCGGCCAACAATATCACAAAGACTGCGTGAACTCAATACAGAACGTTAAGCGAAAAAAATGAAGCTTTGAAAACGGTTTTGTTCGGTTTCGTTGTGTCTATGTTTGAGAGAGAAAAAACAGAGGGACCATAGATATAGGCATTTTTCGCCCTACGAGGCAATTTTTTCGGCTTTTCAACGAAATTCGGCTACACAATAGACTAATAATTTGCCGTTCGACTGATTCAAGAGCCGTAAATAGATAGAAAAGGAGAGTAAACCAGCCCAAGAGAGAAAAAAATATATGATATTTTTCTCGCTCTTGATCAAAAGCAAGTTTGCGTGTGTCTTCTGCGACGCTACCGCTACTGCTGCTGCTGCGAAATTATCAAATTGCGCATAATTTAAGAACAATAACAGTCGAAACAGAGAACAAACAATGACAACAACAATTATAAAAGAATATGGCATAACAAGATCATAACAGCAACAGCAACAACAACAGCAGCAGTGGCAACTACAAACCCGTGCACGCAGAAGCACAAAATCTGGATTTGTCGAATGTGCGCAACGCACAATCAGGTTGCGTGTGGAAGGGAAAAGAGAGAAGTTGAACAGAAAAAAAAGGTAGAAGAAAGACACTTCCCTATGTATATCGTTTGAAATAATAATGTGCCGAAAATATGCTGTTTCCATAATTTCAATTGCGTTTCTCCATTACATACTCTACTCTATTTTCCCATTTCGGCATGTCTCATTGACTCAATCTCGCACTCTATCTCGCGTTGCTTCTCCATTATTTTCTACTTAAGAACGATTCGTCCAAGTCTTTTACGTGTTATTGCCGCTGCTGCTGATGCTCTTGTTGTTGTTGTCGACTTTTTTTCCTTCTGTATTTTTGCATTTCATTTTTCACACACTCGCCGACTCTTTCTCTTTTTCGTTTCGCATCATCCATGGGATGAATATTGATGCTTTGTGTATAATTATTTATGTAAAAGAAATTGCTGTAAACGATTTTCGTTTTCGTTTGAATTTCGCATTTACTTTCCCACAATCGGGCCCGACAAGAGATCGAGAGCGAGTGAGAGAGTGGAGGGTCAGGCAAAAGTAGAAGCCAAATAAACATGACTGTCAGAGAGAAATATTTTGCTTGTTCGAGTGATTACATTCAGACCCTGTGTGACAATAATAACACAATGATGGCGATTATCGAATTAGATAGCCTCTAGTGGCAGCTAACATTGTAACAAACGTTAGAAATTACAACGAAGTCCAGAGGAATTTATGTCTATCATGATACCGAAAACCAAATTAGGACCGTTTGTTATCCAGTGAAACCCTAAATCAAAATTACAGTCGCCAAAAAAACGAAATACAAACAAAATTGGATTCCATTCGGGTTTTCAACCGAAATTCCCATTGATCGTTCGATGTTCGATTCAAAGCGACCTTCCGAGAAAATCAACAAACACAATACGCACGCACAGATTAACCAACATATGTATATCGAATATTTTCCATAAGTCCCATCCTGTTCTTCATTCTACGGAGTTTGGCCAGTTTCTGAATGTCTGTTGTTGTTGCTGTTGCTTTTTTTTCTTGTTTGTTTTCTTTCTTCACATTTGAAATTCGTCTTTTTTAAGTTCAAATACATGTTTCGAAAGTCGTTGCCGTCGTCGTCATCGTATAAATTTTGCCATTTGATTCATGTTTATGCTCAAACAAATTGTAAACTATTATGATAATAGTTAATAAATTGAACAGCCTCAAATATAGTCAAGTGGATGTGAATACGTTTCATGTAAGCCGCTGCACTGTGTGAACTCGGTTGATAATAAGCTTCTTTAACCATTTTTATTACTCGGGCAAACAAATGAAGAGAAAAATACAGCAACGAACAAGCAAAGAAGAAGAAGAAGCAGTGGAGAAAAAAATGTATACAGAGAGAGAGAGAGAGAGAGAGAGAGAGAGAGAGAGAGAGAAAATGTTACAGCCAAAGAATGGGAACTGACTGGTATACCACTACCACTACCAAATTCCACTGATACACTATGGCATTTAGCATGCGACTGCATATTTGGTATTATTTTCAAATTCATGGAAAAAAAATCACAAGCAAAAGAGAAAGAGAGAGGGACGAAAGAAGAAGAGTGTGAGAAAAAAAAAGCATATAAACGGCAGAGAATCTAAATTGTAACGCCGATTGGCATACATTCCCAAGCAGTGAAATTGGTATTCCGATGAGCCGAGAGTTGATTTGATTGACAAGAGAGGCAAATTTAAAACGAAGCATTTTTTTCTTTCATTTCTTCAACTGCACACGCATCAACATTAGAACGCACTTCACAAATACAACAATTTGGAAACGACCTCGACTAGACGTGTATCGTGTCTCTTTGACGTGCGAGTCGTCGTTCGTTGTCCACAATGCTGTTGGTTTGGGAAACCGTGCGAGAGACAGAGATGGAAAAGTGCAGTTGGAATGCTGCACACACATACATTCATACAAACACAAATACACACACAGAAAGAAAGAAACCAATGACACACAACGACGTTGCGCGCACTCGGTCGTTGGTGAGAGATGCGCAACAGAATGTATTGTCAATCGTTTGCGCCTGCCAGCTCGTTCGGTTTAGCATCAGGAAGTAATAACACGTGGTTGATCAAGGAAAATGGCTGTGTTTTTGACTAACTCCCGTGCGCGATTTTTTTTTCTCTCGTAATTTTTGTCCGTTTCTTTTTGATCGAATTCAAAACGTTTCACAAGTTTTATAATCGTGTGATAGAATTACAAATTGGAAGAAAGAAAAAGTAGACACATTTTAATATAAGTTGAATAATTTGGAATTTTAAGGGCAATAACCGAGAGCTGTAAACGTAAATGTGCCCGCACTCGAACAGACAGAGGGAGAGAGAAAAGTGCCACTCGCTACAAAAATTATCATGTAAGTACCCATTAAAATGTTTTTACTTTAGATTTAGTTTTATTAGACCAATTGATTAAAGTAAAAAAAGTTATCAATTGTACGATAAGACAGTTATCACTTGAAGAAATATTCAATATGCGGTTCGATTCAAGTTTCCGATAGCGGTTCAATTGAAAAGAAGAAGAAGAACGAACAGAAGAGAGAATAAAAGCAGCACGCGATGGCAAAATTATAACGATTATACATTCTTTTTCTCTTCATTCTGACTGTAGCATTTATTGATTTTTCCATTCAAAAAGTTGGAACGCGGTTTTATTTGTCTGTGTGTTCTTTTCGTCGTGCCTTTTCGAATAATAATAAAATGTATAAAATTTCATATGGAATTATATGAAAAATGGAAGAAAAAAGAAAGAAACCCATATTAAATAGTTCTAACGTACCAACAAAAATGTACAAATCGAATATGAACATAACGGTAATGTAGTGATGTGCCATCTCTAAATGCGGGATTCAAGTCGATTGAAGAGAATAAAAAGTATATTTGAGTTGAGGAAAGACGACGTCGTCGTCGTTGTCGATGTGAGCACATTTACAATGTGTTGAAAACGCGCATTCGAATCAAACTTACTGTTACTCGGCATAGCAACGTACAGCTTAGGCTCGATGACGATTAAGCGGCTACGAACCGAACAGCGACGGCATGTGCATAAGTTGAGACAAGCATAATTTGTAATGAAATCGACCTTACTGCTATTTTATGAATGAAAATAGAGACTTTTTTTATATCGTTCTCCTCTGCTGACGTCGATTTGTGTGGTTGTTGCTTTTTTTATTCATTTTCTACTTCCCTTTGCATCGCGCGGTTTTTTTTAAATTCTTAATCTGCTTTCCTCGTGCGTTTTTTTCTCTGTCGCTCAAATTCTTCCGTTTCAATAAACTTCTCCGTTTGCTGGGTAACCGTGTTGCTACCTTTGCTTGGAGACAAATCTCATTGTGTGTGAATACTAGCTAAGCTAGGCAATGTGACGCATTCCAGACCGAAAACCCCGGAGAATGTGTGCGCAACGACGGTGTACATTAACGCTAGTGAGAACGATGATACTTCAGTGTCTGTGCCTCTCTTTCTCTCTCTCTCTCTCTCTCTGCGTTTGTGAAACACATAAAATAACATTGTTTTGAGGTGACAGCGGCAGCAGCAGCAGCAATATTTCTTTTGGTGTGTCGGCAACAAGACACAAGGCAATAACAATATAAGAAATGTGCCTATTCAACTAAACGACAAACGTCAGCATGACGATGTAATTTTTTTTTCGTCGTCGTTTCCATTTGCGTCTCTGTCCCTTTTTTTCATCGTACCCCGTCCCGTATACCAATCCCGTATATTCTATTTTCGGTCGTCTCTTTCTTTCTCTCACTCACGCTATGTTCGCCACGAAAAACGAAAATAAAACCAAGCATTGAATCACATACACATCGCTCGATCGTGTGTCGGCGTACGAGTGACGCGCAACGGTGTATGTGCAAGATAGAGAGCGCGCGTGTGTATGTATGATTTGTATGCGTGCGAATCGGCGTTATGATAAAGTTCAACGAACTTCTCCGTCAGTCTCATTTCTTTCGTATCTTTGGGTCTCTTTTTTCTCTACGTCGTCGTCATTCCTTTTTGCTTTCGCTGTTCGCCTCCTTTTCTTCCACTTAGTTATACAAACACACAATTTTTGGATTAATGATCGCTAATTCAAAGCGAATATTAAAAACAGTTACGCGAATGCGCCGCCGACTGATTACGCACCAAGAAGCACACTTGAATACACACACACACACACCCACCCACCCACACACTTCGAGTCATCTCACCTAAACAATAGCATCGAAAACAAGATCAAAATGACGATAATCATTTACGTTGAATTAGCAATGCTCAGGAAGAAGTGAGAGCTCTCGATCTTTGCTTTTTTTCATTTCAATTCGATGTGCTTTGCGGATTTTGGCCACCGAACGCCAGTTTCTCCAGCATTATTTAATTAAAAGTAAAATTATTTAATTAAATCATCATCTCAATTAACATCTGGTAGTTTCTTTTCTGAGACGCAGCTTGAAATTTTTTCGCAAATAATCACATGATCAATTCATTCACAAAAACACACGCATCAAGTACGATACTAATTTGTAGACAAATCCCCATGTTAACAGTATGCTCGAAATCCCATGCGATTCATATATTCTAATATTTGATACCTTTTTTACCGAAATTATTTCACCGTTGTGCACCCGCGCGCGGCAATCGAACATAAAAAAAGAAAACCGAAATTGAGCAAAATGAGCACTTCACGATAGAATTTCGTTGTTGTTTCTTCTTCTTTTTTCTGCCACATTTTCTGTGTGCGCGAGCGTTGGATTTTTTATGAAATGGAGCAAAACGATTGATACACACAGGTCTACATAGCAACAACAACGAAAAAAAACATGAACGATATAATATAACAACAATATCTGGTAATAATTTATTGTATATCGATGCCGAATAACGGTAAACGTAAGTTAGTTCGGCAAACATGCATTGGTCATATCATTTGAACATCGTGCTCAATAAAGTCTGTCTGAAAATCGATACCACACTCGAAGGCTTTTTAATCAATTTGTATGATGTTCCGCCCTAAACAACATAACTACAAAGTAGAAGGAGACGACGACGACGACGACGGGAAAAAAATCGCGAGCGAGAGATGAATGCGATGTGATTTTGTAACAAATGAACAAATATTCGGATTAACTGAAATCGTTCGTTCGTTTGCACTACAATCGATGCTGCTTCTTTTTTTTCAGACAGACACACAAAATATTTGAAATGGTGAAAACAAAGGAACGCACTTTAAATGCCGAAAAACTATCAGCGCTCTTTCAAAAGAGCGAAATAGAAAAAAGAAAACAAAAACAACAAATCTCTCTCTCTCTCTCTCTCTCTCTCTCTCTCTCTCTCTCAAGACAAAACATAACATCACTTGGATGAGTGTTAATGACGATAAGACGCCAAAACTGATTGAAAGCTAACGCACAGAAACCTTCACAAAGTGTAGAGACACAGCGAAGGAAAAAACAAATCGCTTTAGAAGTCTTTTATGTAACGCACGAAAATATGATCGGAATGTTGGGCCGATTTTCGTAGATTGGATTCAATGTGCGCTGATGTTTCACCACATTCGGCTACAACAATTTCCTGTCTACAGCTCAACAACATGATGTTGTGTCACGATTGTCTCTGTGTGTGTGTGTGTGTGCGTGTAAACCGTGAGCCGCGATGTATTTTCAAGTGCCTGGCATTATTTCATTTATCAAATATTTTATTGCCCATTGCTCCTTGTCTGTTTACTTGACCTAAATAATTCACCTACGATTTTTGGTCACGAATCGTTGATCCCCGGACAAACACACAGAGAGAGAGCCATCCATTTCCCATGAGACCTAAACATTGGATCATCACGGATTAATGGAGACAAATTGAGTTTCAACCAAAAAAAAATGGTCAACTTGAAATCGTCAATTTCAACTCAAAATCGAACCACACAGAGAAGAAAATGAAACGGAATTGTGCCAACGACAAAAAAGTACTTTTCTGAATGTGGTGGAATGTTGCGGAGCGAAATCGAATGGAAATCGAAGCACGCGAAAGCAATTTACAGTTGAAACACAAATCATATGTGCTAAAAAATTCAAATAAAAAACAATAAACATTCAAACGGTGTCAAAATTAAAAACCATGGGAATGGAATGCGGTATTTAAATTGGTAAAATATTTCCATGTCGTCTTTCTCTTGTGTGTTTGCCTCTGTCTTTCTTTCTCTCACTCTCTTTCGCTGTGAGTGTGTGTGTGTGTGTGCTGGCATTCCATTTCGCTGCGATGGCAATCGCAATGGCCGAAACTTGGCCAAACAACAGAACGAGAGAGAGAGAGAGAGAGAGAGATGTGGAAGAAACGGCACACATTGGCATTAATCAAGAGTTTGGGTTAGATTTTCTTTATTGGTTCGCTTGTTGATAGTTCGTAATTCAAGTTGTCCGAATTGACAAAAACAAGAAATTTACATAATATAAAGTGAAATACAGTTCATATAAATATGCAATCAATCAAACGATCCTTGCCGATAAGTGTACGGCAAGCGTTTTGTGCGCGCGACGTACAGTATTTATCGAGTTCATTGAATTTACCTACTTATTCTTTTTCTTCGTTTGCGTCATTGACGGGTAAATAGTGTTCGAAACCCAAACATTCGGGCGATTGGAAAAGAAAACCAAACAAATGATATGATAAATAAGACGCTCGCACTCGAAATACACGGAACGAGAGAAATAATAACAAAGAGGAATTCGACCAAAAATCAAGACACAAGAGATCGCACAACACACTCTGTTTGATCTCGTGAAATAGTTAACGCCGCCGTCATTGCTAATAAATTGTCGATGTGTTGGGTCGGAGCAAATTCGAACACGCGAATAACACACACACACATACACTGAGAGTAGCGAGAGGCGAAAATAGAAAATAGGAGATCGTATGAATTTTCGCATTTATTTTTGGCTTTCGAATATCCGCATCTGAGAATGTTGGTGCCTTCTCAATTGTTATTTATACACATTAGCCTGATGTAATGTCTGCGACCGACGACGAAAACGACGAAGTCGTCGTCTACGCAAATTAAAAAGTCCACACGGTCGAACTATGGATGTGGCAATCAAATGGAATGTCGATGTGTACATGGCTAGCTATCTCTATTTGTCGAACTGCTATGTTTTTTTTGCCGTCATCGTCCGCTCTTTATTTCGTTCATATTTTAGACGCCGTACTCTATTTCCGTTTAAGTGGCGACAAATTTCTACTTTTTTTTTCATTTCAATTATACGATTCGATGATCAAGTTTTTTTTTCTCCTGCGTTCGTTCAACTAGAGCAATTCTTCGATGAACCATTTTCCTGTTGATTGAATTATTATGTTAAACGAGAGACAAACAAAAAATACGCCC